CTAAAACATGGAGGAAATTATGCCCTTTAGAGTTGAATTTGAATGCCGGGGCTTCCGGACACTTGGATGACACCACACGAGCAGTTTGGAGGCATTTAACGTTCCTTTCTGTTGTTTTTTAACGTTTGAAGAATTGATCAGCAGTTACTTCAATTGTATTGGATTTGGCTGCAACGCTGTTTACCTCAAACACTTCACCCACCCTTCCATTGGCATAGTGGTGAGTAAATGATGAGTGATATTTCATTTTTAAGACCAGTATCCCTTTAAGTGACAACATCACCTGCCTAATTCTCCATTCCTCAATTGGTTTATCCAACTCCTTGGCTGTTGATTCTGTCAGTTCAGTTATTTTTATTGGATTTAGGAGAACTGCAAATTTTGCAATTTCTCTATTTCATCTGGTTTTATGAGAATGATTTCTTGTGATTTTATTCTCTTTAATATATTGGAAGATTGTAGTTTTCTCAGTCTAAATGCTAATAATCTACTTTCCTTATTTCTATATTCATAGTTTTTCTGATTAATGAATCTCAAGCTTCCCTCAACCTTATCTGATAACAAATTGGTCGACATTGGTCGATGCAGATTGTTTATGTTTATGTTCTAGCTCTTTTACTTTATCTTCTGATTCTCCCTGTCTAGCATCCTCTCTCTTTTCATCGCAGATGTGAATGAAAAAATGCGGCCCCTTATATATGCTTTGGCACAATCACACAGTATCTGCTGTAATGAAGCAAGTAAATTATTTATCATTAAGGAGGAATGTATTTTGTCTAAATTGTTTAGATGTCGGTCTTTGTCCTTTTTCCATTCCAATAACAGAGGTGCATAGTCAGAAATAGTTATAGGCAGAATCTCAATGTCGAATATCCTGTGTAGCTCTACCTTCAGGGTAAAGAAGTAGTCAATCCTAGAATAAGATGTGTGTCTGCCTGAATAGAAGATGAAATCCCTCCCTCTTGGAAATGTACCTCTCCATATATCCACAAGGCAATCTCCTCCCATCAGAAGCAGGCCTGTGCTATACTTTAATACCACAGTGAACAGTGTCCTAATAAGCCCAGACTCTACTTCATTTGGTGCATAAACATTTATGAAAGACACTTTTATATCATTTATATCACAATTAGTCCATTAACCAAGATACAGTATATCTCCCCTCTTTGTATATGTATCTAGGTTTATGTAAAATGTATTTGCCTGTGTAAGAGTATGAAAACCCCCATTTTTCAGGGAGAAAAATAATATACTGTACTTTGTCTGCCCATGACCTTTTTAAATTTTCATGGTCCATATTAGATAAGTGGTTTTCCTGTAGAAATGCTATCTGACAACTAACTTGCTACAGCTGCTTTAGTATTTTCTTTCTCTTGACAGGATTAAGAAGACATTTTTTATAGCTTATAATGTTTACTGTATTCATTACTTACACTTAGAGGAGAGAGATTGGGGGTGGTATAAAAATATCCTGCATACAAACCAAGCCATGTCTAGGTTTTGAAGAGTCGAGCTGGATAGTGAGACTGAACAGAGAGGTGAAAAGTAGTGACTACAGCTGTACCAAGGTTTTTTGACTTCAACAAACGCAATAGGAATGTCAGTAAGACTATGCTTTTGGTGTGCTAAGATAAGCCAAAAGGATAACTAAATAACATTTTCCCAAGGATTAGCATTTAGGCTCCTGCAGAGCCCAGCATAGGTATATAAATCAAATTGCTCTTTTGAATATGTAGCTGTCTGGATTGCCCAAAGAGTCAGGCGACCGGACATAGTAAGAGACCTCTCATAATAGCCACTAATGAGGTAGATATGATTCAAAGAATACTAAAAATTACAGCCATCAGGCACTGGAGCTCTGCCTGCTAAAGAGGACGTGCTAATATATGTTGGCTATAAAACATTTTAATTAACCCATGGAGGGGCTAACAATAAACACGGCATGAAAAAATAAAAGTAAAAAATCATTATCTTGAGTTCTTAGTTTTTTTTAATCAAATACAGTCAAGGATACTCTCCCCACTCTCTGTTGGTGAGATAATGTTCTGAACGTACTCCATGGCCTTCTTGGGATCTTATTCTCATTCTGGTATGAGATCTGGAGAGTGCTGAAAGAAAATGTCTCTTTGGCACCCCATGGATAGCTAAATCACGTGGACAGCCACTAGTCCAGGTCCTGTGACACAATACACCAAAGCCATTTTCTAGGGCTGTGAACAGAGGTGGTTGATATCCATAGGCACACTGAAAGGGAGATATGCCAGTAGAGGAGCAGGGGAGTGAATTGTGTGTATACTAAAGATGTCAGGATGAACCAATTTTATGATAAAAGGGGTTCAGTCAGATTAGACAAGCAGCGTGCTAAGATAAAACAGGGAGCATGTGCAACCCCCCCCCAGAACAATGGAAACCTAATGCCAAGCTAGAATAATAATATCTATATGTAGAAGCATCCATGCTGCAGACCTTTAAATTATTGAATAAAGAAAGCAAGCATGCATCCTGCGAGAGGTAATACTGCTGTTATGTGAAATATCTATGTAGTAGCAAGCATGCTGCTGACCTCTAAAAGTATCTAAAGAACGCAGGCATGTGTTCTGCAAAGGGCCTGTTAGAAGAATATGATTATATGCAACTATTTCATTAGCTTTTTCACTTTTATTAAATATAGTGGATTGGTTACATCTTTAATTTAAAAAGACCAAAAACTAAAACTAAAGGAGGAAAATCTCCAAAGCCGCACTGACAAGAAATTGTCTGACCAAAGAAGGATGAAATGCATTAATTTGCAATCAACTTCTTTTATTGAGCTTTCATATATTATTTTTCCTTTTAATTTCACAACGCCTTATAAAAAACAAGTATCCATTTATGATTAAGACTGACAGTGTGTTTTTATTTAGTTTTATTTTTGTGTTAAAGGTACAGGGTGAGAATTTTGTGATATCTAGTATTGAAATTGCATGTTGCAGCTGAATACACCTCACCTCACCCTCTCCTTCCAAGAGGCAGCCTTCAGTTATCATAAAAACTCAAAAGGTGTTTAGTTTGTTCAGTCTGGACTAATGAAAAAAACACGGCGGCCTCCGTAGAGAGGTATTTAAATATAAAGGGCCTTTTCTAGGGTAAAGAAAACTACAATTCATACAATTTAGATAAAACAAACTAGTGAAAACATCATGAGGATTATTCTTAATTAAATTTCTGCCATCAGTTCACTTACACACTAAA